CTAGGGGTTTAGGGTTATATCTTTATCCTCTATAATCTATATTAGGCTTTATTACTATATTTTTTAGCTTTATTATTATATCTTTATATTCCTTCCTAATTTATAATAGGCCTATATATTAAGTAGTACACGCGCGTAGTATCTATATACTTATTTTAGCACCCTACTATAAAAGTTCTAATATAGCTATTCTACCCTACTATAAATTTCCTAAACTTACTTTATTATATAATAGATTTTCCCTACTAATTAGCCCTCTCTCTACTCTTTCTCTATTAATCCTGCCTATCTAGCCCCTATTATATCCTTATCTACTACTACTAGTACTAGTAGTGTGCCGTGGTATGGGATGTATGGGAGAAAAACAAGGCTTAGCCTAAAAAGTTAGGCGGATTAAATAGTATAAAGGCATGAAGGATTAGAGGATAGGACAAGGACAACTCCTAGGGGACTTACTTTAACTCTACAATATTATCTTTTTACTTATGTTTCTGCATTAAACCTATATCCTCTACTATAGGATTACTACTATTAAACCTTGTCCCTCCTACTTCTCCTTGTTTAAATAGGTTACTCTCCCTAACAGTTTAAATAGCAAAGCCTAAGGGGAACTTATCTTATCTTAGTAAAGGGGAGGGCCTAGTAGCATACAACTAAGAGGACGTTTCTCTAAGTATAAGGAGGGTAGAGAAAAATTAAAAAATAGGTAGTATTAATAATTAATATTATTAAGGCAAAAATAGTAGGCCTATATTAGGACATAGCTAACGCGCGTTAGTAGGAATAGAGTAATAACACTAAGAGGCTAACTAGAAAATATTAGAAACACTAGAACAACTAGAACAACTAGAACTAGAACAACTAGAACTAGAATAACTAGAACTAGAACGACTAGAACTAGAACGACTAGAATAACTAGAACTAGAATAACTAGAATAACTAGAACTGTAACAATAAGGCAGAATTGCCTGCCTATTATTCTATGCCAAGTTAGGCCTGATAAAGGCCCGACTTA